CCTTGGGGTCTCTTCCAACTCTATGATTCTATGAGATTGAAAGAGAGTCACTCAATGGTTTTCATGGCCAAGCAGAGAATAGAACCCCAGCCTTCAGAGTAATAATCCAACACTCAAACCACTATGCCATATATGGCAGCATTATATTGGCGTGTGTACTGATCAGGATAGCAGCTCATATTTCCAAATTTTGTTTATTAAACTGTCTTTTGTCCACTCTTGTCTCTCCATTTTGTCTAGCTTGCAGTGCCAAACAATATTTTACAATCCTCCATTTTCTTAAAAAAACAAAAACAAAATAAAACACCGTGAATGCTAACTCAAAGAATCTCTGGGTGTTCTGCTTGCCTTTATCCCTTGGAGCTGTATCACACTGAAATGTTTGTTCACATGAATCTAATGGGCTGCTGCAGGATATTAATGACTTGGCATCCTGATGTAGCCAAAAAAAAATTAACTTGATTCCTCTTGGATTGATGTTGTTTCAATCCTTCTCTCAGATGCTCCAGTAATTCAGTGTAAAAAGTGGTAACACATAATTGACACTTGCTTATAACTTCTTTATACGTGAGAAAGGAAACCTCCCTGACACTTGACTGTTGTGGGTGTTTTGTTAAATTTGTTGCTTGCTAATTTTTCACCCAAATGAAGCAGGAAGAGGCTGTGACAGTGACAGAGAGAGGAACAGAGAGAGGGAGCCAGCTGGGTAGTAGGATAATGTCAGCGTGAATCAGTGGCCAATTTGCGGAGAACTGAGACAGACAGGATGATGGAAAGAGCATCATCTATGCTTATGTTATATTGCTGGGTTAGTAGCTTCAGTGTGTCTCCACACACCAATTAAATATTTCATCACTGAGTGCAGTTGATCCACCTTTTATGGATTACCGTAAACAAATTGCATCTTTTCTCCAGCAAGTGCTGAAGCAAACATGGGTGCATGAATGCTACAGCTCAGTGCCATACACCATCTGCCGTGACACATGGTACAACTCCCAAGGGATCTTTTAAAGCATTGCTAACATATAGTAAGACAATTACAAGCATTTCCTAGTTAAATATGTCTTATTCCTGAAGAAACATCACTTTAATACACAGCATCTAGGAAAGGATTAGGAAAGTGCATGTTGCTAGAACCTCCCCTATCCAGCCCCCAATAACCCATGGAAGGCCCACAAGGCTAGGGTTGGGGGAGATTTCATTTCCATTTGTTTTTGAAGACATTACCAAAAACCACAAATGCCTTCATTTTCAAAACAGAAAACTCTTGAGGTTTTAAAAAATTAAGAAGCAGCAGACAGATTGTTCCCCTTCCCCCAGGCACAGATTACATTTTCCCCCTCCATTTCCCCCCATTTTCTAGTCTCATGGGATGATGATGAGGGAAGGCAGCTGATAATCAGATTTGACTTGGTTTATTTGTCATGTGCAGAAGCTGCTGTCTTGATCAACATCAACACAACAAGATGAGGTGCTAAATTTTATCCTAATGCCTTTCTTTGAACAGCAAAAATCAACTTCTTATCACCATTTTGCAAAGCTCTCTGTGTGTATTCTACTGGTGTCTGCATCCTGCAAGCATTTTCCCTGTAATTTTCCAACAGAAAAATTGCTTTCCCCCCCACACCCTAAAGATCTGAACATCCAAACACATATTTTTCTAACACTGGCAACCTTGCCCCTGTGACAAAAGTTACAAATCCCCCTAGTAGCATTTATTTCTCTCCCATGCAACCACTTAGAGGTGCTTTAGAGAGATGATACGTACTGTCAGGATTGAGGTTGGGGACCTTTATGTTGAGAAGGTTTGTTCACCATTTGTTCATCATTCAATTTTCTCACTTTACTCATGCCTCTTTGAATGCTAAAAGCAAAGAGGGAAATGTCATCCGTCTTGTGCCCAGATTGCGTTGAACAAGCTGATGTGGCTGCTGCCTGTTAATGTGGGTTGGGGGCATTTGCAATAATGACAATTCATTACTGCAGTACAGAATGCCAGTCAACTTTTTGTTCATGAAAGACAGTGTATTTTGTACAAAGCACACCTTTCTGTACAGGTTTTTTTTGTGTGTGTTTTGCCCAACTAAAATTTCCACACAAAAAAATGAAACACACACACACACACACACACACACACACACCATGAGAAAAATCCACAAAACCTCTTGGAATCTCACCCAGGAAGGATAAACCTTTGGAAATTCTTCATTCTTCATGTAGAAAAAAAAAATAAAGATTTATATCCCTAGTCATAACTGCAGTCAAGCAGGATATGCATCCACTCTTATCTGCTAAATTAGATTCCAATTGCTTCCCCATCCAATGATTTCAATTTCTTTCATAGCAAACAATAAAGAAAGAAAAATATCTCTAGTGTAGATTTTCTCCTCTCCTCTCTTGGGTCTTTCAAAACACCCACCATCTTGACAGCTCAGCTATTGAGTTTATTCATTTCTCTCTTTTGTTTTTCCAGTTAAGCTATGTCTCACAACCAACTCCACTACACTCCTCTCTGAAGTGAATTATGTGTGTTGTATTTCTCTACCCCTATTTGGGCCAAATCTTCAAGGGCTGGCAGGAAAAAAATAGTTGCAGATGCTGGTGATTCTCATGGTACAGCTGGAGTCATTTTCAAGCCAGAATTTCAGGGCTCCATGGAAAAAGAGGGTTGCCTTGCATTTTGCATCCCACATCTTAGGGTTTTTTTAAAGCATGTTCATGCAACAATTGGACTGGGAAAAACTTAGGCTGAATCTGCACTGCAGAAATAATGCAGTTTGATATTGCTTTAACTGCCCTGGCTCAATGATATGGAATTCTGGGATTTGAAAGCTCTGGTGCCACAACAAACTAAAAATACCATAATTCCTTAGTATTGAGCCATAGCAGCTAAGGCAGTATCAAACTGCATTATTTCTGTAGTGCAGATTCAGCCTAAGAAACACTAAGAACAGCAGCTCTAGGCCTGGGGTGCTCAACTTTGGCTGAGCTTGGGGTTAATTTTCATCCTCCATAGGCTTCCAGGCTGTACCATTCCATACCAGTCTGTACCATTGAAAAAAAGTGCCCCACCTTTATTTTTTTTGGGAGAGTTAAACCCATCAGCCCTGGTGTCGCAGTGGTTAAATGCCTGTACTGCAGCCACTCACTCATAGACCACAAGGTTGCGAGTTCAATACCAGCCAGGGCTGAGGCTCAACTCAAGCCTGCATCCTTCCAAGGTCGCTAAAATGAGTACCCAGCTTGTTGGGGGGCAATCAGCTCACAGTTCTAAACCGCTTAGACATCCCATAGCGTGATATGAAGCGGTATATAAATAAGCTGCTTTGCTTTTGCTTTGCATTAAGTGGCTGGAAATTTGCTTCTAGTCCAAAATATGCTGAGCTTGAGCAAAGCAAGTTCTTGTGCCAAATCATTACAGAAAGACTCTGCAAAGTGGGGATCCTCTATTCCTGTGAAAACCCAGTAAAGATGCTTTTGCATCCCTAATGCTGCAATAACCACTCCTACCAGACTAAAGCATTTCTGTTCTTCAAATATCTCAGCAATGTCAATGTGAACAGAGATCCCCACTTACTGGACCATACTCTCTGACTATCTCCATTCGACAGGAGCAGTCCCAGTAATTCAACAGGCATCCCACTTTTTCAGCAGTTTCTGAAATGTCCCAGTTTTTCTCTCCTCCTCCTGACACTCTCACCCTTTGTGAATCTGACAAACTTCAGTTACTGCAAATTGACTCAAAAGTGCTAAAGTACTAGATTAACAAAGGGAAGTACAAATGTAAACTATGAAAAAAAATGAATATAAGAAAACCGAATGAGTAAGAAACAATTCAGGAACATTGGAATTTATTTTAAAAGACACCTTTATTAATATATTTACAATTTTTGTTTTATTATTTATCAAAATAAAGGGGAAAAAGAGGTTTGCTTTCAGTTAGCTCAGGAGAAAAAGTGGAGATGTGGAAGTAGGACCCTTCCCTTCCCTGTGAACTTGGACAAAAGAAAACTGCTGAAGTCTCTTACTGCTCACCTGTTTTCTTCCATTAATATATTCTCCCACTTTGACTACACTCTGATCTTGTTTCACCACAGATGTCCCAGTTTTCAACTGTGAAATATTGGAAGGTATGATGGACCTTATGAGAGATCCAAGCAAAAAATCCAATGAAGGGAAAACCCATACAGAATGGCAGAAATTTGGCCCTGGTGGAAAAGGACAACCAATGTATCTCATAAACCAAGGGAAGGAAACCTAGAAAAGCCTTTGAAGAACCCCACAGATTCAAAATCTTTCAGTTCTGAGTATATGATTACCATAATGACAAATTGTCAAGTTCCTAAAGATTCTGAATTTATGTAGTAAAAATGCTGATCTATAATCCTTCATCTATTGTTGATTTATACTCTGTCCAGTCCATGCTAGCTGAGGAATTCTGGGATCTGGAGTCCTAAAGGTTTGCCCATCTCTAGGAAATTTGCATGCAAGTGACCTCCCAGGAATGTGTAGATGCGTCCTAGGTCTCCAACACCTTTTTACATGAGTAAA